ATGTACCTTATTTTTTGAACAAACGCTGCCAATCGGCTCAAAAAGCATTGTTTACCTTGTTGCGTTGAAATCACCAACCTGTTTCATGTTCATGTAGCATATTTCAGTTCGTGTCACTTTGAAACTTTCAAAATAAGTTCTGCACAACTCCTTTACATGTACTACATTGTTCTTTCATCTTCTGTGCATAATGAACCATATTGTCCTTGTATTCCCATTTGCGAATTCTCTGCAGAATAGGAGGCGTCCAGTTTCAAGCTCGAACAGTCCCTCGTCCTCTCTTCTAACTCGCTGAGTCCTCAAATGTTGATCTTCCAGGTCTTAATCTTAATGCCCAGCTTAATTTACAAGTGATCGACAGAAACACGTTGCTAGCTTTAACAGTTATGATTTGTAACCTGGGTTTGCGTAGCAGCCTCTGCCTGCATGGCTGACCAGCTGCTGCCTTTGTCGGCGACTATCCAGCCTCCGGGAAATGAGGACTGTGGTTTTGGTTGTGATTTCATCTTGGAGCATTTGGTGATAACTTAACACGCTGACCAGGCGGGTAGGTGCGTGTTATTTTTTCCACTTGGCTACGTGTTTTACAAGCTTACACGGCATGGTTGAACCTGCAGCGTCTAAAGGGGCTCAGCTGTTCGTCAACTTCAAGTCGGTTCTCGTCGCCGCACCACAGTGAGGTAGTGGAAGCACAACTGAGGACAGACTTGTACTATATGACATTTTAATCTTCTGTAGAGAGTGAGAAGTACTTCGACTGTAATTCCATGTGGTAATCCTCTGAACAGCAGAAACTGTAAGCTGTTACAGCCTCTTCCGCTAACAGTTCATCCTCCTTTCATTGAAGTCATTAGGTGACCCAGATGATCTTTCTAAGTTTTTCTTCCAGCTTATACGAGAGCTGGGTCAAGTCCATATAAGCATGATGCTGAGAAGAAGCAATTTTCAGAGAGACAGCTAAGTCTGGCATATCACTGATTTTTATTTGTTTATCTATTTACTGTTTAAACTTTGCCATGGTTTAATGAAATATGAACCAACGTGGGTTGCTGCTGTAAAGCTCAAACACTTCCCATCATGACTATGTGTCTTGGAAATTTCAGCCACTGTAAGAAGCCATGCTGATGCATAGTTCGTAGTTAATTCACTTGCTATCCGTTTCATGGGTAGGTTACAGAAGTATGGTGGAGCGAACTCAACGCTTTGGAAAATTTCCCGTTGGGGAGAAAATCTACCTCGAGCTTGAATCGAACCTGTACCGATAATGCCAAAACGAAAGTACCCCCCCCATCCCCATTTATGAACATAAAACGAAATTGTTTTCGAAAATCGCTCTGATTAGATAGAATTTCCATTAGATAGCATCTCTCGAAATGGCCAATTAGTCCTCTTAAAAAAGATTCATAGCGTTTTCTTGACATACGCTATTTTAGTGATTCATTGTAAGGTAATTATTGAATATGCCTGGTTCATTTCCCGACCACCTTGTACTCTACTAAGCATATCATTTAAGCGAAAAGGAACTGTTACTGCCATTGCAATTTCTAGATTGCTATTCTGTTTGCTGCATCTAATTGCCACATTCAAATCCGTCCCGCTTTAGTTAGGTTGAATGCTATGAGTTCAAAGAGCATGTTTAAAAAATGATTTCGGAATTTCAATGTTTTTTATAGTCCAAGGGATACATGCTTAAACTGAACAGTTGTTCTTGTCTTGAGAAGGCGTTGTATAGCTATATCTTGAAATTTGCCTTCAGCAGCTAGTGGTCGTTTTCGAAGTTTGCCTTCGAATTGGTTTCGGATGTTAAGCTGATGGTCTGTCGGCTAACCCTGTGAGCAGATTAAAGATTCGCAAGTCTGCTGAAGTATTTTTTGATCGCAGTGTATACTTCGATGCTCAGTAAAGGTATTTGCTGCCAATGAATCGTTTGGTCTTAGGTTCATCTCATTTCATATTTTCGACCAGATGCAATGCAAATGTCTTACAGGTGAATCAAACATACAGTACCGTTGTTTAGCCGTCTGCGTGCGACGTTTTCGGATTAAGCCTTGAAAACAGAAAATTTTTTCTCATCTGTTACGGTGGCTTCCAAAGCGCAGGTCTCTGATTGGCATATCTACTGGCCCGGTCGAGTTTGCCAATGACACGAATGGTGAATTGATTACCGTAAGAGCAAATCTTTTATTTTGGCAATGCATTTGCGCTTAATGATGAGCAATCGACGTAAACAGATATCGAGTGGCAGGTAATGGCAAGATTTAATTTCGGCAATTTTGGCGACGTGCTATTACCGCAGCGCTACTTCAAAAGTAGTCAGTGACTAGCACACAATTTCAAAAAC